CCTATCTAGCCTCAACTTTCACCTAACACTGTTTTTAAGATTAAAGAAAGACAGACAAACTGATAGACACCAGTTAAAATTTATGACTACAATTTTTTAAAATTGCAGCCCAATTAAATTTTTAAAAATTTTTATTATAATTGAAATTCATCTCAGTGACTATGTACAGTACTACATGATATTACTATGTAAATTTTTATTTGGTTAACACAAAAATAAATATTCTAAAATGTGATTATTTCCATTTCTATGTTTTATGTAGAAATATGATTAATAGTCAACAGCAGACAGTTCAGTTTTTATAAGATTCATGAATATCTTGCAATACTGATTGTATATCATGTTGAGGTTATCTATATTAAATACAGTTTTTATTAAAGATGTATATTTTACTTTCATATACAGCTATTGAAATCTTTACATAGAAATCAGATAAAGATTCTAAAAATGTAATATCATAGGGTAGCCAAAATGTGGCGCATTGGATGATTACAAGTGGCGCTTCAGTCAGTTCTGAGTGAGCCATCGTGGTGTCTAGTTTTGAAGTAGAATTTTTGTGAGAGCATTTTGTGTATTTGTGTTTTTTTTTTATTTTGTGTGATATGATGTACATACATAACTGTAATCTATTTGTTCTTTTTCAACATTTTTTAGAGTTTTGTACTTTTCTATATATTTTTTAAATTCCTTTTATCCACTACAGTGCAAAATAAAATGACCAAAAGAAGCACAGAAATTGACAGTAGGCATGAATTTAATGAACAGTAGGAAAATGAATTATTATTTATAGCAAATTCATCAGGTAAACTGTTTTGCATTGTTTGTGAAAGTACTTTTTCTCATAATAGAAGACATGATTTTAATAGACACTATAAAACACAGTATCAGACTTACATAGAAGAAAAAATGAAGTTTTTTCTTGGGTCTGAGCTGCAAAAAGAATATGTGACTAAGAAAAAGGAAGAAATCAGAAGACAAAATATATTTGCTAAAGTAAGTTGTGAAGAATTAGCAATGACAGAAGTGTCATATGAAATTTCTTTAGCATTGGCAAAAAACAGAAACCTTTTTCTGATGGAGAAAACATTGTTAAGCCTTGTCTCCAAATATTTGCACACCATCTTGAAAAAAAAGAAAGCAGACAAAATTGCTATATTAAGGCAGACAGTTATGAGACGTATCAAGATGAACTCTCTCAGGATATAACCCAGCAATTGGAAGACCTTGTCCATTCTTGTACTTTCTTTTCTCTAGCTCAGACACATCTGATGCTGCACAGTTAAACATTTTTTAAGAGGAATTGATGATAATTTTAATATCTTTGATGAACTTGCCAGTCTGGAGTCATTGCATGGTAAAACAAGAGGATCAGACATATTTGAAAAAGTAAAAACATGCATAGAAAATCTAAAATTAGATTGTAGCAAACTCATAAGTGTGTGTACTGATGGAGTGCCATCAATGATAGGTAAAGTCAATGGCACTGTAACTTTGCTTGAAAATTTTTTAAATTGTCCTATACCAGGGGTGGCCAACAGTTTTTGCTCCCGGGCCGAATTGGAAAGAAAACTTTTTTCATATGCTGAACCAGAGACTAGGAACCCTAGAAGATTTTGAGGTGGTGTAAGATCTCATTGTGGTGCCACCCATAGAGACTAAATTGTAGATAGAGATTACAGATACATTTTTCACATTATCATGCTTTATCAACATTCTATGCTGTACTTAAGAGATTTGTAGTTGAGAGTTAACTCTAAATGCACAGTGAGTTGTTGACTTTTTTTTTAGGCATCAGAATTTTTCATTGAGCTATTCAGACTTGAGTAGCTAATATTGAAAGTTTAATCGCGGGCTGCATAATTTCATTAGACAGGCCAAATCCGGTCCTCGGGCTGTATGTTGGCCATGCCTGTCCTATACTAAAATATCATTGCATTATACACCAAAAAGCACTGTGAGCTAAAACTTTAAATATGCAAATGTTATGTTACCAGTTGTGAAATGTGTGGATAAAATTTGAACAAGAGCATTAAAGAGACGCAAATTCAGAGAATATTGTGAATTGTTAGATTTGGAATATGGTGATCTTAACCTTCATTGTGAAGTGCACTGGCTTTCTAGAGAGCAGGTTCTGAGTAGATTTTGGAAATTGAAAAATGCTGTTTCTAATTTTTTAGAACAGGAAAATGAACTACCCGATGAAAGAATAACAACAGGCTATTTGATTTGATATTTTTAGTTGATATTACTAGCCATCACAATGGTGTGAAATCCGAGATTTTTACGCCAATGTCGGAAAAATTTTTGTAAACAACTCCAATGAAAAAAAACACTCTTGGTGAGAAGTATATCGGAGGTCACCGATTGTTTTCACATTAAGGTGGGAAAGTTGACAGTTAGTTGATCGGAATGCACCGTAAGTGTCAACAGAAGTCGATCACGTGACTCATTTCCCACGAATAACGTATAAAAGCTTGAGTCCCCGAAAGCTCCAGGCGATCCCTCGGAAGTTATACTTGGTAGATATGCCATATTTGTCTCCATACTCCGGACCGAAAGGACATACGACCAACCACAGCCATTTGAACTTCCATCACCATTAATGAACATATTCAACGAACGCATATTAGACATATCCGCAGAGAGGTATTTGTACTTTTTAGAGCTTTGTGAACTCTCTCTCAGACTAGCAGGTAAAGCTATTAGAGCGTCCCTTTTGTATAGTGAATTTATTTAATCGCATTTAACCTATGTATCCTAGCTTAGTTATATAAATAAATGCTTGTTTTGTTTTTAAACCTGTCTCCTGTCTCTGAAGGACACCTGCAGACTTACCGACGCACTCCCCACTCAAATTTTGCCCTCCTAGCCATCCGACAAGCCGAGAATGGGTTTTACCAACCTGTTGCAGAGTAAGTGGTCATTTGGGATGAGCCCAGTGGCCCACTGCTAATCTCACAATGATCTAAATTTAAAACTACAAGGAAAAAATAAATGATTTTATAGTTTAGTAAATAGCATCAGTTCATTTGAAATAAAATTAAAACTGTTCATCTCTCAGTTAGAAAATGAGGATTTGAGTCAATTTCCATGCTTGGAAGAGCAGAGTGAACGTGCTGAGAATAATAGCAATTTGATCAAATATATTGAAAAAATCAAGGTATTTCAAGGAACATTTGAAAGTCATTTTCATGATTTTGCTAAAGAAGAAAACTGCATTCTTGCCTTTATAAACCCATTTTCACTTAGTGAACAAAACATAATGCAGATACCTAATAACATACAAATGGAACTGATTGATTTAAAAACAAATTCATTGTTAAAAATAAAATTTGATGAGCTTTTTCCAGATCAAAATGCTTCTGACGTAATCAATTCCTGGCATTCCACATGAACATTTCCCAAAGCTAAGAAAATTTGCAAAAAATTATATACGTCACTTTGGAACAACATAGAGAAGTGAACAAGCATTTTCATTTCATTGATGAAAATGCTTGTTCACATCGTGGTCATGAATAACTGATTCAAATTTAAAGAATTCTCTGTTGCTCAATAACAAATTTAAAACCAAACATTAAAAGACTAGCGAAATCCAAACAGTCTCAAAAGTTTCATTAATGGTAAGTAATGTTTACAAATACGTCGCACTAACCTTGTATAGCTTTGCAGTTACTACTTAGAATGTGTCAGATTGTAATTATCGCTTTGTTTATTAGATGGATTTGAAGTATTGTTTATGTGCCGTAATAGATATTGTTTTACATACAATAATTAAATCATTTAAAAAAGTTAATTAGTGTCTATAAACATACTTCTATTAAAAAGGTTATTAAACATATGCCAGGGCCAAGACTCCTAGCAAGCAAAGAGAACAGACAAATCCAAGTTCCAAACTGATCTCACTCTCAGTGCCAACAACTGTTTTGCAGAGTTATCTTCACTAAACGAGACTCTCTGGCAGCTACAGCACCATCATGAAGCAATCACCCTTTCGTACAGGAGATCATTCCTAACCATTGTAGACTGGTGCTTCATTAAACTGGTGTAAATTAATTAATTTAACTGCATGATTAAGTTATTCCTTTTCCTCCCCTAAGCGAAGCAGATTCTATCTTTATCTCTATTTACCAACCCCTAACTATGAACGTAAGATGGTATAAAAAGTGCTCAAGTTATATGGCGCATCTGAACTCATCTGTCAAAAAATTGGCACATGGTATGCAAAATGGCCACCCCTGTAATATCACATAATAAACACATTTAGAATACATATTGTTACCAATGGCACTTGAAATCCTGATTATTTGAGTACCAATTAACTGAGATTCTGCATTATCTGAAGCAAAGTTTTTATGAATTATAAGAAAGGTAGTATATTACACTACCTTTTTTATAATTCATAAAAACTTTGCTGTAAATTTTCTAAATGCATACATATTTTAGTACGTTTAACCTTGACTATACTAAGTAAGCAGTCAACAAGCTGGTCTGTTGGAATGTGGGTATAAATCACTCATTCCTTCTCCTATTTTGCTATTGTTAGTGTGTTGCTAGCATTGGTCATGTTTGCCAGTGTGTTGCAACATCTTTACAAGTTTTCATCTTGAATATTAACATGAGTGGCAAAAGGAAACATGTGCATTTTAGATTAAATGAATGGCCATCTGTTTTAACCCAGTTTTTGTTTATCCAAGGTAGCATCAGGCCATATATAAATTTGAGATACAGTTATATATTAGATAAATCATTTTTTTTTTAAATTAACAACTTCTGTAGCTATCTATATTTTAAATAAAATTAATATCTTATATCTAAAAATCACAGTTATTTTACATGTAATTGTTAAATTACAAATTTTTAAAAATACAATGGAACAACTTATTAAATTAAAAAGAAAAAAAAACTTTAGATAATGGAATATTTAAAAATAAGAAGTTGTCAAAATACTACTTTTACCTATATTATTTTAAGTTACTTAGCCAAACTATTTTCAAACTTACTTGAAGATTTTGTAGTATTTAGTGGAACTTTTAGATTGTCAGTTACATTTTCTGATGATGAATTTCCTGAAAAACTAACATTTGAAACAGAGGAAGCAGTCGGCTTATCACAGACAGGTGGAAATCTAGTTTCAAGGTCTTGCAGATGCTTCTCATAATCACGGAAAACAGGTGTAAAATCACACAGAGCATTTTTTTCAACATGTTGCTGGATCCATTGTGCAAGACTCTCATTTAAACCTTTAAGTAATCGATAATATTCATTATCTCGAAGAGAATCTTTTGATTGAACTTCATGATTTTCTTGTAAATTATCCACTACTACTTTTTCAGTCAAGGAATTGATTGAATTGTTTGATTTTGTATTTAAATTACCATTAGATATAGTATGTGTTGAACTGAAGTTAGAAAAACTGGAACTTATGTTGTTATTAGTTGATGTAGTAGTATTTTTATTTACAAATCCTTGAAATGATGCAAATGGATTTGTAGTTGACTGTATAATTAAAAAAAATTGTTAATTTTTTATATGTTCAATTATTTAGAAAAACTATAACAACAATGAATTTAACTAACCTCTTTTTGGAATCTCCTTTTTGCTGTTTTTATTACTCTTTGAGATAATTCAACATCAGAAACTTTCTTAAATACACCCGGATCTTCAGGTTCTTCTTCTTGATCCCAGTTATCATGATTGAGTTGATTTGAAGCTTGGCGTTTTGCCATTTTATTTCTAAAAGAAAAATGCTTTCTCAGTTTAACATTTAATCTATTTATTTATCATCTTTATTTGAAACCTATTTTAACATTTCAATACTGAAAATCACACATTGTCATTTGTATAAATTACAATAATTTATTGTTAGCTTATCTTATGCGTTAGAAAGCCAAATTACATACAGGTAACCCCCGTATAACACGGGAGTTACGTTCCAAAAAATTGCCATGTTATGCGAATCCGTGTTATACAAAACAAAGAACTAGTGCGAAAAGGGGGGTTAGGTTCCAAAAATTAAAAAACATGTTGTTAAATCCTTATTTAAATCGGATTTATTATTCATTTTTTTCATAGGTAAAATACTTATTTATTATTTAAGTAAATATTTTACCAGAGGATTATTCATTTTATATGATGATCTCAGCATGAGCATCATCAACCGGTAACAGTTTGTGGGTGCGTTTGTTAATAGCGGTCGCTCTGCAATGAGAGTGTGCTGCTGTTTGTAGGCATTTAGGAACGACGGTGAAAGAAAGATGGCGATGCCCGCACTTTTTTTTTTAACTCTTTCCGCCCTGTGGGCACTAGGAGGTCCTCTTTTTTCCAAGCCCATTACGGGTTCGGCCAGGCCCACAATTGGACTGCCGGGTCGTGAGAGACGGAGCCCAACATATCCGAACGGACCAACCCCCGAAAAATTCCTGGGGATTTTTCGACCCGTTTAGGATTCGAACCTGGGTCCCCCAGAGCGGTAAGTTGCCACTTTGACTGCTTGGCCATCCGGCCGCAGCGGCAACCGCACTATCAATAGTATCATGTGGAGGAATCTATAATTCTAAAATGAGCTTTTAGAGGCAAAAGAAGAGTCACAATTATAAAATTTAACCATTAAATGGATTATTTGCTGAAAGAGCATTCAAAGTAGCCACGAAAACAATTAGAATGCTTGCGCAGAGAAGAGCCATAACTAGGGTATGGCCAATGTGGCCCCCGCCACAGGTGCCGATTTAATTTAAAGGTGCCAACGAGAAGGTTTTGGAATATGTATTTAAAATTAATAACAAAAAAATTTTTAGATAGAAGTTAACANTATTAAATTAAATTTTGTTTATCAAGAGTATTTATCTCTGCATATGATCTAAATATATAAAATTACTTGTCCTGACTGACTGAGTGATTGACCGATTGATTCATCATTGCCCAGAGCCAAACCGCTGAACTGAAAGAGGTGAAATTTGGTACACAGTTAGGGTACATCATGAAAACGCACACTAAGAAGGAAATTTTCGAAATTCCTTCCTTGGGGAGGGGAGAGGATTAAGGCTCAGCCTGAGAATGGCTTCTACTGTACTATTTTAGATGCGATGTTTTGTTTTCAACAACGTTTAGTCTTCATTGAGTACTTAGGTGTATTAAATTGATAACATTTCAGACAAATTGTTATAAATATTTTTATATACAGGTAACCCCTGTATAACACAGAAGTTACGTTCCAAAAAATTGCTGTGTTACACGAATCTGTGTTATACGAAACAAAGAACTAGTGCGAAAAGGAGGTTAGGTTCCAAAAATTAAAAAACATGTTGTTAAATCCTTATTTAAATCGGATTTATTATTCATTTTTTTCATAGGTAAAATACTTATTTATTATTTAAGTAAATATTTTACCAGAGGATTATTCATTTTATATGATGATCTCAGCATGAGCATCATCAACCGGTAACAGTTTGTGGGTGCGTTTGTTAATAGCGGTCGCTCTGCAATGAGAGTGTGCTGCTGTTTGTAGGCATTTAGGAACGACGGTGAAAGAAAGATGGCGATGCCCGCACACTTTTTTTTTTAACTCTTTCCGCCCTGTGGGCACTAGGAGGTCCTCTTTTTTCCAAGCCCATTACGGGTTCGGCCAGGCCCACAATTGGACTGCCGGGTCGTGAGAGACGGAGCCCAACATATCCGAACGGACCAACCCCCGAAAAATTCCTGGGGATTTTTCGACCCGTTTAGGATTCGAACCTGGGTCCCCAGAGCGGTAAGTTGCCACTTTGACTGCTTGGCCATCCGGCCGCAGCGGCAACCGCACTATCAATAGTATCATGTGGAGGAATCTATAATTCTAAAATGAGCTTTTAGAGGCAAAAGAAGAGTCACAATTATAAAATTTAACCATTAAATGGATTATTTGCTGAAAGAGCATTCAAAGTAGCCACGAAAACAATTAGAATGCTTGCGCAGAGAAGAGCCATAACTAGGGTATGGCCAATGTGGCCCCCGCCACAGGTGCCGATTTAATTTAAAGGTGCCAACGAGAAGGTTTTGGAATATGTATTTAAAATTAATAACAAAAAAATTTTTATATTCATATTTACATAGTATTTAAATGTCATTAGACGATTTTTTAAAAATAAAATTATCATTTTTTTAATAATAAAAATTACAAAGGCGCCATTTTAATTCTTGGCCATAGACGTCCAAAATCCTAGTTATGGCTCTGGCGTGGAGTTACGTGGAGGTATAAAAGAATGCACCCTTTATTACATTTTATGTTGTACGAGGGTTTTACCCAATTCTCGAACCGTGTTAGAGTGAACCCGTGCTATAAAAGCATCATGTTATATGGGGGATGTTCCCAATTCTCGAACCATGTTAGATTGAATCTGTGCTTTAGAAGTGCCATGTTATATGGGGGTTACCTGTATTTAATTATTACTTATTATTCATTTTTTGTAATAATCAATTACTATAAAATGCTTTCAGATTTTAATTCTATTTAGAATGAGTAATTATTCATTATGATGTTATCACAATGCCCTCAATTTTAGTAGTGCCTCGCCCCTGTATCTCATACTTTTCCTGTTAATAATAAGAATGCCAATTATCTAACTCAGTTCATGGGAAAATTTCTGAATTGAAATAATGTGACTTTTGGTCCAAATCAGAAGTTTGTATATAGTTAATTGGGACTTCCTGCCCTCTAAGCTTTCCCTATCTAGCCTCAACTTTCACCTAACACTGTTTTTAAGATTAAAGAAAGACAGACAAACTGATAGACACCAGTTAAAATTTATGACTACAATTTTTTAAAATTGCAGCCCAATTAAAATCTGAAGTTATTTTAAAATAAAGATTTGTTCCTTGAAATATTAAATTATTACAAGAAGCAAATGTATTTAATAAAGCATAATTAAATATTTTTTACATTGATAAATTAATATAAATTTTATGATTAAAAATGTATTGTGAAAAAATAAGATATAATTTAAAATGATAAGTCCATATTAATAAATTTAATTCATTGTTTATATGGTTTGAATAATTTTCTTTCAAACATTTACAACAGCAATGGCCAGACCCTGTTATGATAAAAGCCACACATTGCCTATCAAAAATACAAAAGAGCTGCATCCTTTGTTGGAATAGTATTTTTTTATTACATGTAATTAAAATACTAAAATTAACACTGTTCTATTGTAAATGTCACTGTTATTTTATAAACCCCTTAGACTTTATGAATGTACTCTAGCTTGGTTGTTTGTTTAAAGTTAAGTTGAGTTTGTTTGTTTTTTTAATGGCAACACAACACTTGGGTGACTGCCTAGGAGGGATGCCTTCCAGGAGGTCTTTTTAAGGGAAACTGGCCCCTATTTAGGTGTTACAGACATGGAGAAAACTCGGAAAACTCCATGTTGCCAGCCTGTCTGTGCGAGGCGTGAACTCATGACCGAACTCCCAGTGTTCAGGGTATGAAGACCACTTGGCCACAGGTGGGCATGGTTAAGTTGAGAGTTATGCTTACAATTTGTAAATATGTATAAGTAGTATGTTCCAAGTTATAAAAGGAAATAAGTNAGACCACTTGGCCACAGGTGGGCATGGTTAAGTTGAGAGTTATGCTTACAATTTGTAAATATGTATAAGTAGTATGTTCCAAGTTATAAAAGGAAATAAGTATATGGCAACCTCATTAAGAATCCAGGAGAGCTGCATGTATCTCACAAGCTGCAGTTTAGCCACTAATGACATATAACATTAGTAAATTCAATATACTGTACTAGTGTTGTACTAAAAGTAATGATTAATATTTTTTTGGAGGTCCTGTTTTGTTCTAGCTGAATATGTTCTATATGGCAAATGACATCATATGTGAAGTGTTAAAGTGCTAAGCATTACATATCATTCTGTTGCAGTCAGTCTTGCCAAGTTTGAAACAAAATTTCATATTCATTCCTGCTGTTCCTTAAAAGAATTCATTTTACAAAGCAATGGTAATTACAAATCAACAAAAACACAGATGTAATCCAAATAGCAAAAAACAAAAACTACATAAGATAATGGCACAAAATTTGATGGGAAACTAAATGACATCTATTACACAAGTGGCTGATTCTAGTACCACATCACCAGTCCTGGAACTTTTTGACTGCACTTCGTTAGTGTTTCTGTTACAAACAATGCATGTAGCCTCGCAGAGGACATAGCGCAGTCCAAGATTGAAAGGCAGGGAATATCAAAGTATATTGTTGTTGGGTACCACAGTTACTGAGTGTAGACCAGAAAACACCACAAAAAAATATATAACTTCATAATACTCATCATAAGAGTTCAAAAAGAAAAACTTTAAATGCAACCAACAAAATATAAATGTTTGACAAATAAAATATATAAACTAATTCCTTTAAATGTTATTTTAGAAGTTAATAATTGCATATTTCCAACCATTCTCCAACAATTCTGTATCAGTGTAATTAATGTACTCCCTTTGAACTTTCAAAAATTCAAAGGGAGTACATTCAAAGTTCAAAAATTTGGAGCTCTCCATACATTTGTGCTTTCACAGGAAAGTTAATTTATTTAATAATATTGGTCTCATCCCATCATATGTAAGTATTGTCTTGCACTGCAAAGCAAGCTAGTGCCATTGTCATTTGTTCTTTCTGATGTGTTATGTTATACATCAGTCTTATTCTAAAATTTATGCAAGTATATCCCACATATTAAATGCTAAGGCTTATAGAGTCATTGCTGGCCAACATGACTGAACCTGTAAACACCTGACTGAAACATTTTGTTCCAAGATATCCTTTCTTAGGATATCACATATTGTGGATTTTCTTTTAAATACCAATTCTTTTCTATTTTATTTAGCCAATGTTGCATAGAGAGATCTCAATGTCTTAATGTAAATTTAGCATATCCTGCCTTCATGTTTCTAGTAACGAATAGCCATTGATCCATTATTGTAACTCTACATGTTGATAAGTTGTAACATGTTTTTTTAACCCAAGTGCAACTGTAATATACTTAATTCTATTTAACTCTAAACATAAATTCAAATGCTAAGAAGAACACAAATGCACATTTAACTAGTAATTTGAAGGCAGAGAATTTGTATCACCTAGGATCAAATAAATTGCAGGATATGTATATTGAGTGAAAGTTGGTTTCACATAGACTGCAATGTAAAATCTACCTTCCAAAAGAAGCAAGGAGATATCCAAAAAAAATGGGCTGTTTTATTATTTTGTTGCTACCACTCAAAATGTTCTTACAATGAGGGTGTAGGTAGACCAACTATAGTAGGGTGGCACTAGCAAATCCAACTGAAAATTTTTAAATCAAATACTATTAAATAATGTATGTAGGCTACAAAATGGTACAAAAATATAATAAACTAGCAGACCCCGCCACGCGTTGTTGTGGCTCAAAATGTATCTATTATAAATTTATAACACTTTCCCCGCGGGGGGAATATCGAAAAATTTCTTCTTAATGTACATTCTGTTGACGTACCCTATTAAAACGCAATCAAAAATGCAAAAACCCGCATCTAAAACAGCATAAATAGAAGCAGAGTTCTTTACCGTAAGCCTTAATCCTAACCATCTCCCTTCAGTGGGGTTGAATTTCGACATGTATATTATATAAAAACACGTGCGTATTCGAATGCAGCGTTGTGTCAAAATTTCAAAGGAATCGATAGGAACAAACGAACATTACATTTTTATTTATATAAATAGATAGATGATCTGCTTTAGTTCATTTTCACAGAAAAGCATAATGCCTCACAGAAAAGCAAACTTAGGGCATCGTACTCATAGCGCCATCTGTTGGGCATAAAAGCCTTAACCATAGATGATATTTAATTTATATGAATGTTTAACGGAATAATATACAGCCTATGTCCACCCTGAAGTTCCATTCTAAATATTGGTGAAAGAATTTTTGAAATCAGATGAGTAGTTTCGGAGATTACCTGCTACATCCAAACTTACTTACATACTTACTTACAAACATTACCTCTTTAAATTAAATATTTATCTAAAAATTTGAATGATCAAACAGAATTTGTCATTTGGAACAATGGACAGGATGATTCAAAATTTTCTAGGGAGCTGAGCAATCTATGGCCACTCTAGTTATAGACTTACCTTACAAGTTGCATCATTTCATTTCCAACGTGTCAAAAAAACAAATGAGCAACAATGCAAACTTGTACAAATTATGTAACAATATACTTTTTTGGGTCAATGAAAAATGACACCTGAAGATTACATGACAAACTTTGTATCAACAAAAAAAATTGCACTTGGAGATTACATGCTGCTGCAGATTTTAGGTGGAAAATTACAATATTTAGTAAAGATGATAATCATCACATTTATATCATTAACATAATAATATACTAACACATTATTTTAAATTGCTATCTTGCAATGTTTACAACTAAGCAAAAAGTTTCTGAAAAATTGTTTCTTCACAGAAATTTTTAAAAAGTTTATCATCTAATTAAAAACACAAACAGATTAAACAAAACAAAATAAAAAACACTGGATTAATAACTTACCTGTTTAAATTCTTTAGATGATTTTATTAAATGATCAACGTACAGCACAAAACTTGATATCTATTAAATCATACATAAAGTGAATTAAAAACTTCAGATGAATTTATAATGATCATTATAAATTTTGTATACTTTTAATTTTAAAAAGTTAAAAAATATAACAGTGTTCACTATTAATCTTAATACTAATATTTAGAATGATTATTAAATCCTCTGAATAATTTGACTAATGTTATACATTAAAAATTTGTTCAAAAACATTTTCAAACAAATTTGAAAAATTTAAATAATTTGAAAATTAATTTGACTAATAGTCAGAGACTTGAGTTCTTGTAAAATTCTAAAAAAGTTTATCCCAGATATAACAACCATTAAGTAAACGAGATTTATTTATAAAGATCTGCTTTATTCAATTAAAAATATGTAAAATATAATAATCAGCAGTTTTTCATTTTTTAAAAATGTTTTTTTTTTCTATCAAACATGTATAATACAGTAATTTGCCAAATTTCCTCCCCAATATGCCAAAATATAAATTCTGTACTAATTTTTAATTAAATTCTATTAAATTAATTTTTTATTTGAGTTTGTTAAACTTTAAAGTACCTTCGATAAGTATAATTTATGAAACTTTTTCACAAATACTTTAATGAATGTGATTTCCTCTTTTGTTTAAAAAAAAAAATTCGTTTTTCTATAAATACAAAAATTATTCAATCAGTTTGATTTTTAACAAGCTTTTGAAATAAAACACAAGTTGGATGATGTTTACTAGACTTTACATCAATTCTTCACACATATATCTGTCAATTGTTAATTTTGAAACAATTTAATATTACCTTCCATTGACATATCTAGTATTGCAGACAATTTCAAACAATTTTAATTACTGTAATAATAACCTAGACTCCACTTATGAAGATTTCTGAAATATGTCAATCACATCACATTAATGTATAATGAGAATTAATTAATTTAATTTTATTTATTTTACATATAACTGGAAATGTCTTAAGAATGCATATTTCACCTGTTAACAATATACCTGCAATTTACAGTAAAACATCAATTAAAAATTATATAACAATAACAATAATAATAATAATAATAATAATAATAATAATCTCTTAACAATAATAAAATTATACAATGTATAAAACTTTTGAAATTACAGTTGGTATTTATTTTTTACATACTGACATAATAATTTATTAGAAATTATAAGCAACTCATACTAAAATACTAAATAATTAAGTTTTATAAAGAATATGTTGACATATTCTTTTATAATTCTGAAAATCATAAAGTTCTGCTGAACTAGCATGCTCAGCATTATGGCAAAAATATGATCTATGGGATATAGATAGGCAGTAATAGGAAATGGATATATATTATGCATTATGTGTTCTTCTGGGAATATTCTTAATTTGAGCCAGTAATTATGGATTAAACCATTAAAATATTTAAAACACAAAATTCGATAAACATATTTTTATTCTTTCTTTAAGTTCAGGTAAGCTTAATCTGACATAGGTTACATCAGGATTATTAGTATACAGAAAATTTATTTTTATACATTTATTTTACAGGAAATAAACTTTCTGAATTTCTTTGTCAACTTTATTAAGATGCAAAGGAGCAGTCATTGACCAATATGGACAAACAGTAGTCTAAAACAAATAAAAATTTGCAAAAAAAAATATTTTTTAGAACTATTTTGGAAACAATTATTTTGCAAAAGTGTCATAATATCCCAAGGCAAATTGCAAGAGATTTTGCTATCTTTCCAATGCGACATTTAAATGTCAATTTAGTATCAAATATTATTCTTAGGTCTCTATACTTATTTAAAGAACCTTAAAGCAGGGATGGGCTTTTTCTATGTAAGGGCTGCATTTCAAAACTTTTGAGCTTACACTGGCCACATACAAGATAAAAATGCCGTAAATCACAATTATTTATTTATGTATACTGTAATTATAAATTAGCATAAGTATACTTAATTTAGCTTCTGGAACTGATGTAAACATAATATATTGAAATTTTTGGTTAAATATTAGTCACTGCTAATTTTAAATTAGTTTTGATGTGAGTCTGTTAGCCAGTTTCTTGTTTTAATTTTTACTAAATTCATTGTGAGAAAAACTATTCATATATATAAGTTGTAGAAAATAACATTTGAATTTTTGCTGCATACTTTCTTAAGCTGGAAAATTGATATATTGATATTCATATTTTATGCGACACAGGCTGCAAAAAGGATTAATGCGGGCCACAGGTTGCCCATCTCTGCCTTAAATCATGAGTTTTAATGTTAAACGGGGGAAGATGCAAGTTTCAGATCAGTGAATAGCACATTATCACTGTTTTTCGAATGTTAATTTTTAAGTTAGCTTAAAAATACTAAGGTTAGTATATTTAGATCCAATTGTAACACATAAGAGTCTGAATTTAGTAATTTAATGTCATCTGTAAGTAAACACTTTTGATTCCATATTATTACATAGATTGACAATACATGCTGAGAATAACAAATTACTTAAAGTAGAACCTTGCAGAAGTCTGTATATTAAAAAGAAATCAAGATAATCAAAGTCTTTTAGAATTATCTTACAGAATCTGGACAAAAAATAACTGTTTAGTCAAGAATGAAAGAAGAGGTTTACATCAAAATATCCAAATAATATGGTTAACAGTAAACTTGTAAGCATAGAATCAAAATCCTGTGAGATGTCAAGATATACAACATATGTAACTCTTTTATTCTCAAAATTTTCCAATAATGTATATATTGTTTCAATTAAATTGGTATTAGTTGAATAACTATATATACTGCAATGTTGAATTAAAGGTAATATTGATGTTATTGGTACATATATATCACTTGGTCCATAACATATATATATATATAAACAAATGCCCAGTCATTATGAATAATGACAAACAAAATCGGGCATTATAATAAATTTCAGGTGTTTTAACATAATTTATCAAATTGACCAATCATTATGAATACTGCTATCACCTAGTTAGACAAAGTGATAACAATATGTTGAGGACTGATCATACAATATACACTAGCCAATCAGCACTTGCATCTGAGTTACATGTGCATACTGCATTTAGTACCGAATTTTAAATTTATGCGACCAGTAGTTAATCTTGTGCAACATTTTAATTTTACTGGATGCCAAGGCTATAGTCAATGCTGCTGCAAAATTGGTCGCAAATCTAATAGATGCAAATGTTACAAAGAAAAAAATTATGTAATTCCAAATGTCATCAAAATCTTAATTGCTTGAATAAATAAACTAAAAAACATTTAATTTTTTACATAATTTATACCAAAAATGAAATTCCAGAAGTTTCCTGTAAGTTGTTGATTTTTCGTTAATATTAGTTTAATTGGTAGAATTTTACCTATGTGCACCATTATGGCAGTGGTTGCGATTGTTCGTGCTCCCAACGGACTCCTCCCGGAAGGGAACCGCCAGCATGCTGCTGATTGTTTAATGTCACTAGTTATTGATTCATGGTAGTTCTTGAACACACATATCATTAACTAGTAATGTTAAACAATCAGCAGCCTGCTGGCAGCTCCCCTACGGGAGGAGTCCGTGGGAGCATGAACAGTCACGACCGCTGCCATGATAGTGCACAATGTCGAGCATGATTCCACTGTCTTCCAAACACCATTGTCAAACTTCTAGGCTTACAGGAAGGCTGAGCTGAACATACATGTTTTTGCATTGAAAACTTCAGCCACAATCTCACAAATGAATGTCACTGAACCTGAAAATGAGGCAACCAGGGAAGAGATGATGAATAATGTCAACTGATGTTCTAGCTGTGTAGGCTGTCGCCCATCCTGTTGAAACCACACACATCTGATGGGAATACATTTCCATCGTAAGCAAGGATGCGGAAACGTATTCCCATCGGATGTGTATGACTGAACAATCCCCTTTGTGTACGACNTTGGTACATATATATCACTTGGTCCATAACATATATATATATATAAACAAATGCCCAGTCATTATGAATAATGACAAACAAAATCGGGCATTATAATAAATTTCAGGTGTTTTAACATAATTTATCAAATTGACCAATCATTATGAATACTGCTATCACCTAGTTAGACAAAGTGATAACAATATGTTGAGGACTGATCATACAATATACACTAGCCAATCAGCACTTGCATCTGAGTTACATGTGCATACTGCATTTAGTACCGAATTTTAAATTTATGCGACCAGTAGTTAATCTTGTGCAACATTTTAATTTTACTGGATGCCAAGGCTATAGTCAATGCTGCTGCAAAATTGGTCGCAAATCTAATAGATGCAAATGTTACAAAGAAAAAAATTATGTAATTCCAAATGTCATCAAAATCTTAATTGCTTGAATAAATAAACTAAAAAACATTTAATTTTTTACATAATTTATACCAAAAATGAAATTCCAGAAGTTTCCTGTAAGTTGTTGATTTTTCGTTAATATTAGTTTAATTGGTAGAATTTTACCTATGTGCACCATTATGGCAGTGGTTGCGATTGTTCGTGCTCCCAACGGACTCCTCCCGGAAGGGAACCGCCAGCATGCTGCTGATTGTTTAATGTCACTAGTTATTGATTCATGGTAGTTCTTGAACACACATATCATTAACTAGTAATGTTAAACAATCAGCAGCCTGCTGGCAGCTCCCCTACGGGAGGAGTCCGTGGGAGCATGAACAGTCACGACCGCTGCCATGATAGTGCACAATGTCGAGCATGATTCCACTGTCTTCCAAACACCATTGTCAAACTTCTAGGCTTACAGGAAGGCTGAGCTGAACATACATGTTTTTGCATTGAAAACTTCAGCCACAATCTCACAAATGAATGTCACTGAACCTGAAAATGAGGCAACCAGGGAAGAGATGATGNTAAAATAATCGGTAAAAATTCCAAATCTCACATTATGAAATACTGGCTTGAACATCAAAATTTGATTTACAGTGTATTTGGAGTTTACAATGTTTAAAATTCTAATTTATACATATACTTGTAAATCTATGAAGTAGGAATGGCCCCAATTAGTCTGGATTTTCAACGATTCACTGTATTTTTTTAAGTGAATCAAACATATCTACTTCTCAAACATTTTTGACTATCAAATAGTGTTACCACCTTTTCAAACTTGCTGACCCGGATGGCAGGTCAGGTTTGTTCGAACAGAAGTTCCTGACACATGCACAATGTCATTTTACAATGCGAAAAATAACGTGCATCTATGCAAGTAACCTAAATTGAAAACAGGTACAAATGACTTAGCTCTATTGGATATTGAAGACGTGTACAATCAATCATACATGCAAAAAGAAAAAGAAAGAAAGAAAAAAAAGAAAAGGTCAACAGATTGTGACACATATCAGGCGTAAACAGGTTTCAGTGAGTGTGAGGTCTTTCTTTCATCGTAATTTCGCAATTTCTACAAAATTTCCGGACAGTGAGTCAAATCCCAGACTGTCCGGGTGAAAACCGAATGGATGGTAACACTACTCTCGAAGTATCTTCAACTACTGAAATTAAGAACAGTTGTGTATTCTAAAATAGAATACTTGTTTACCAATGAATATTCCATTTTAGAATATATAACTGATTTAATTTCAGTAGCCAAAATGTGACTTCATAGAAGCTGAAAATATTTCTAAGTAATGAATAATTTTTGATTACCTTAAATAAGCAGCATACTCATAAGTTTTGATAGGTTTGCAATGCAGAGATTAATGGAATTGGCAATTATTTATCTAACAAAAAGAAGATACTTCTACAACTAAATAGATCAAGATCTTCATTTAAAAAAAAGCAATTCAATAAATCATTAAAACAATTTTCAGAAATATGAATGTTAATTAGAACGAAATACACATTTAACAAATCTTTAGATTTATATTTATGGTTTATAATTAAGCAAAGTTAAGATATAAGTTATACTAATAATTTATATAATGTTTCCTATTTTTATAATTATTAATGAATTTTTACAAATGTATT